TATTTTTTCCCCGACCAGCCCCTTTAACATACCACTACAAAGAAAAGAAATAAGAGTAAATGCAAAATAACACTGAAAATGAGGATTTAAACAGTTGTCATACTTGCGATTGGTCAGAGCCATCAGAAAACAGTGATGTCCAGATTTGTGTCGGGAGTTAAATCTGTTTGTCAAAGAAACCCGATGTCTATAGCTATCTTTAGCATTGTTTATAATCTACAATCAAAACCATTCACTAAATCATCAAATATTTGTAGTTGCTGAAAACTGCACTAGCATCCCTCTTTGATACTATACATAAATACACCTATAAATAACGTAACAAAACTGAGTTCAACTTTATAGTAGTACGGTTTCTTTAGAACCGCTGTAACTAAACTTTAACTGTCAAAATCCATGATGGCCACCTGTCGGCCATTTGTGTTTCGATGAATCCCAAAATATAACTGGCATAACTAGGTGTTAAACGGAACCTGAGTATGAAACTTGAGAAAGATCCATCTAGTCCTTCATGAGAAATAGGAATAAACACAATTAAACTACCAAAATCAAATCAAACAATATCGGGTGACCTTCTTGCGTAATATCGATAGATTATGTCAACATGTTAGAAACTTTCTAAAATTAGAAATAGCCCCGAGTTAACTTCTTACGAGATAAATATCTCATTAAAAATACTGTTTCATGTCGAAGGTAGGAATGTGCCTCAACACAAAAATTACAAATGTTACATGTATCACAATAACATCCTGGTCTAAAATGTGATCTGTTTTAGGTTTTTCGTATATCGGTGATATTAACAAGCATTTTTCCAATCACTACTCAACTAGGCCCTAATGGAAACCTGCATATACCTGTACAGAATTTCGTAAATGAAATGGCAGACAGACGGCCATAGTATATTTGTGACAATTGAAGATTGTTATTTCTATTTCCTCTTGTTAAATATGTTACAATATGACAAATTCACTACTGACGTGACTGTGATGTTTAATAGATACAGGACGAAAGGTCGACGAAGACTCCCAGTATTATTTCCACCTCGTAGAGGAGTTTACTTCACATACCTCGAGAGAGGGTGAAAAACTACAAAGCAAAATAGATAAAACACTCATAAGATTACAGAAAATTAACTAGGTCAAACAATGGTAATTATCTCGAACTGACAAACATGTTCGAGCTAAACAATAGCCATTTTACTAGTACAACTCAACTATATCACTTTATCTATTAGTTTAGGCTTCTTTTATATGAACATTATGCCATCAAAATTACATACAGAGTAAAATCATAATTGCTCCATACCACCGGTTAATAAATTAGACAAGACCCTGTGCTAACCAGATCCTTCAAAACACAACATGTACACGTCACCTACCAGACGAAATTATGGCTAGTTGCACGATATTATCATTACTAATATTCATATTAATACAGTTGGTACCTTTAATGAAGTACAAAATAATAAAATATACTATTTGACTACGTTATTGTGTCGAGCAAACAAGCAGACGACACCGGTTGAAATATGGCGGGACTCGCCCAAGCCCTCCAAACATCGGATTTACCAAACGTACAGAATGAACATATGCATATAACATAAAACTAGCATCCAAGATACATTATACAATAAATCAGACAGTTATTATAACACTTACTTCTTAGGGAGACACGCATTTAGCCAACACAATATCGGCGTGACTGCGACGCTTCCACATGCATCGTCGACATATGAACCTTGTAAACAAAACTAATATGCGGAATAGAAGCGGGTACTAATTTCCGGATTATAAATTCAGGACTTATAGTCCGCACTATAAATTCCGGATCAAGACCGTCACAGTGACTGTACAACAGTTAAATTACGGTAAGTTGGAAGAAGGGAAAAGATAGGACATGCATAAAGATGTTAAAGCATCTTCGATGGCGGCCGCAAAGATTGCACTGGGATCCATGTCTCTACTACCGTCCAGATGGCGCGAACATTTTAGTTTTCATAACAGGTATAATGCCTTTGTACTTAATATGAATATACGTGACTTCTATTGTATACCTGATTTTAAAAGTCAAGAGGTGCTCGAAATTCCCCGCGTTCAGGCCCGGTTTTAGAATTTTAATAAACATGTTCTCTTTTAACTCTCTTGCACTAGTATCTGATGTGTTCATTTGCTAAATTGGTAAAACTAAAAACTGATCATTTGAACACTGGTGAAAATGTTTGTTAACTAATAAATTTCGTAAACTATCAGTTGAGGTTTGCTGACGATGGACTGTCATTCTTTGACGTAGTTCATTTCCATTTTGACCTATGTAAAATTCAGAATATCTCTTACAAATTACAACATAGATATTACATCTCATTTCAAATGTTTGCCATTCTTAAAAACAAACGAGTTACATTCAACAATCATGCTATATATATACATTTTTGATAACATAATATTGCCAGAATGTAGCTATAGTGAGTTTATGCAAAACATTTCTGTCAAGAATTATCATTGAAAATTGTAAAAATGTGCACTCAGTCTATAATTCCGTCTTTGTGCTGACCCCACAGTTAACAAATAATTGTGGAATGGATTTGTTGTTTTGGAAAACATAAAAAAATGTGGTATAAATTTGCTAATAATATCCAGAGGACTCTTACCGAAACAAGTTGTAATTAACAGGTTAATCAATCATTTCATTGCTACAGAAATCGCGAAGATATTTTTAACAGCCTACATGTATATTTTCATCATTCAACCCAAGAAGTTCATTAGCTAACATAATTTAGTTGCCATACCATGTGTATGAAGTAACGTAATAAATTCATTAAAACAATAATATATCTTTGTCACCCTGGTAAATACATGTACTAGCCGCTTCCTACCAACTCGGCAGGGGAGAAATTCATTTCAGCTCTATCAGTAGAATGCCAGACTAGTAAGCCAGAGGTTGTGGGTTTGATCTGTAGTTGATGCAGTGCCGCCCATGTAAGGACTCGGAAAATATTGACAAAACTAATAAGCCTTTCTTTCACAAAAATCGCTGTTACCCCTGAGAAATCGAAGACCAGTTCGTCCTAAAGGGGGAGTATGTTATGTCTCCCGGGTAAATATTAGCCGATTCCTATCGACTAGGACGAATTCTCTTGGATGCACGGCGGTCTAGTGGTAGGACGCCGGGCTCGTGACCGAAGGGTTGCGGGTTCGAGTCACAACACGGTACTGTGTTGTATCTTTGAGCAAGATACTCTGCTTGTTCCAGTCTACTCAGCTGTAAATGAGTACGTGGTTGGGAAGTGCTAGAATTGTTGAATGCTAGCTGTTCGCGGCGAAATGGCAGCTCCGGCTGTATGCTCCTCAGGGAGTTGAGAAAGGTATTGGCTGGTTGCAAAGGCCCAATAACTGCGAATAATAATTTGTGAATCGCTTTGAGACGACCTACGAACTAGGTTGTCATAAAGCGGAATATTAGAACCTCGAATTATCATTATTATTATTAAAACTTTATAATAGAAAACCAGAAATTCCGGGTTCGATTTCTAGCGGAGGCATTGGGAAAATGATCTGTGTAACTTATTGATAAACTTATTGCTTCAGGATTTTATCATTTAATGTGGTGTTCTGGGAGGGATTAGTGCAGGGCCATTTTCAGATAAAGTAAAATAAAGATATTGATAATTTGAAGTTGTTTTATTTCGCTTTATAACAGCAGTACAGTCGTCTTAAAGCGGTTCACAAATTCACAAATTATCCTCCTTGGTTATTGGAACTCTAGTTGACATAACGTAAAACATGACGTCGCCCTTTGTAACGACGCTTTTGATTGGCTGATACAGCAGCCTATTAATTCCTAAGAGAAAAGATTTTCACAGGGATCGTGTATAGTAGATTAAAATATAAGGATTAACTTGAATACATTTTTTATGTTTTTAGGGTGATATAACACAAAAAACCGAAGTGTACTCTCATCATAATCCGCTTCGCGGTTTATTTAGAGTACACTCCGGGGGTTTTGTATTATAACTCCATAACATAAAAAATATAATCAAGTTTATCCTTAAATGTAAAACTATGTCCTAAAATGCCCCTTTTCACATTTCATGACAAAATTATGCATCGTAAAAAATATGTCATTGTGTCAACATTACGCAGTACTAGTAAATAAATCGAAAAGGCGCCTTGATTTTTCACGGTATTTAAGGGTGCATTTCGAAGCATTTTTCAAGCCAAACACTCCCGAAAAAAACCCATTAGACTTCTTTGCTCAAAAGATTATTTGTAGAATGATATTCTGTTTCATGTGCTAGTTTTGGGGGCATGTACTCATTTTTATATTAAGTGTGTACTCCATGTATCTTCAGACATGTATTCGTTTGCACTTTGACACATTTAACACCCTTTTATTGACATCTTTTGCCTATTGTACAAATCCAATTGGTACATCGGCCTATATGTTATGGTTGTGGTATTTGGATTTTTCGCTGTCCCTCCACAGATAAAACAATAACACTTTCACTAGTGTTCCTATCGAATACTTTTGAAAGTTTGTTCACGTCATTATAAATATCCTTAATGAAGCTTTTAAACCACTATCCATCCATAAAAGTGCAACTCAATCGATGTACTCACCTTCAAGTAATGACAGCAAAAAACCCTAACAACCGTTCCACGGATAGCACATCGTTCTATGAACACCATACCATCTACGAGATAGCTAAGTCGTGGTTACGAGATAAATAAGTCGTAATTACGACATAAAAAAAGTCGTAATTACGACATACTGAGTCGTAATTACGACATACTAAGTCGTAATTACGAGATATTTAAGTCGTAATTACGGAAAGATATGTCGTAATTACGACTTTTATGTTTTTGATTCATGTGGCACTAACTGGCTTCCGTAAAAACGTAATCTGTGCCTATATTTATAATTCTATCAGCTCTATCGCTTTTCTAAAAATATCTATGTTGATTTCCACAAATTTAGTGTTTAAAGCACCTGAGCGGTTTGAACCAATCACAGTCCTTGTCAAATACTAGGAAACGATTAATTAATTTTGTCCCGCCTACTGCCGTGTATTTGATGAGCTCTGTGCTGGATGAGAAATAGTATTCACCCGATGAGAAAGACGAAGGTAAGCGCCTATCCATTGTATGTTAAGACCTCATGTTCATGGGAGAGCGAGAGAAATGGACATTTTATTGATTTGTAAGCGTTTGACATATATGCCTCTTAACGAAAGTAGAATTACAAAGTTTATAAGCTATATACATGGTTCCACTTTAAAACCATGTCTTAATTATTTTAAAGTGCTGTAATATTAACTGTATTTGTTCGAAATGAGAACGTTTAGGAGAAAATCGAAAAGGACGAATCAGTCAAACTCTTTAAAATCAAGCTGACATAGGCCTTCAGTATAGTCTTGTCAACTTCAAGTTTTGCTACCTGAGGCGATAACGATTATGTAAACAAACATTTTAGCAGTAGCAGGATTATACACTAACAATATGTTTCCTTGGTAATGATGATTGCGGCAATATAGATACTTTTACAATTCCAAAGGACCAGTTAGGTTAGGTGATTCAGGGGCGTGGCATGTGTCTCACTCAGCAATAATCTGACGGCCAAGCTGGAGTACATTTGTACAACCACTATTTAAAATAAAAGTTGATATTACTAATCAATCTTTAGTGTAAAAATGGGTATTGGAAACTTTCGGTAACATGTTTCTAAATGTACACAAAATATTATGATATTATTATCATCACGAGAGAGAGAGAGAAGAACACTCCTGTTGATATATGATCGTACAGGATACTTTATTTAAAGTCGCATACACGTAAACAAAGATCGTTAGCTCTTGAGAGCTATATTATTGCGACAAACATATGTAAAATAACAATAACACGTTATATCACAAGTACAGGGAGATATTCACATATACATTATTATCAAGGGTTTAAATATTTATAAAAAGCAATAAATATTATGGCAGAAAAAGAAAGTATCAAGTATCAACTATTTCTAATTGATTCGGAGCCCCTTTCTACAAAGGGCCCCTGGACATAACACTTTTGATACAATAAATATACAAGAATAGTGTTAGTATGAAAAGCAATAAATGTGATCACAGATAAGTAGTATTTAGAATAAGTAAATAAACGACATAGTTAAATAGACATAGTTAACAATTAATACTTGTACATCACACAGGAATTACTTAGGACTTAGAATTAACACTATCAAGTTAAATATACATACAATGCCAATATAGCAAAGAGTGAAAATTAACAGAATATACGCTAATATAGTGTGAAATTTAAAAATGATACCGAAATCAATTAACAATGTTTGTCAAGTTTAAAAAAAAAATAAAAAAATATATAACCCATTGAATTAAAATAACAAAACGATGATGTCGTATATTTAAGGTTATGACGTATTTGTGATATTTCAATATGATGGAAGCTGGTTATATAGTGATAAACTTGCTTGTCCTTTACAGAGGTAAATATCATTTTATCAATTGCTCTATGACATCACACGAGGGCCCCTATTGTGCTTTATCGTGAACAAATATCATGAACAGATTATAGCTGTGTCACGCCCCTGTTGACGGTCAATGTTTGTTATGTACATCAAATCAAATCTAATCAAAAGTTTTATTTAACGTCATGATTAAAAACAATACAACATCAGCTCTATTGAGCTATTAAAACCGACACATAAAAGACATGCACAGTTACACAATAAATATTTAGCAAAACATATTAAAAAGATGATCACTATCTAATAGAGAGGTGACATAAGTAGAGGTAAGCTTTAGCTAAAAGCATGTATAAAACTGTATTGTGAGCCTATGTGTAGTTGTTGTTCTGAAGTGGTCTGGTAGGGCATTCCAAATGTTAGGTGCTTCAGATCGAATTGAGTGTTTACCATACTTTGTAATTTGGTATATCTGTTGTGTTGTGATATCTGAATGTGTATGACTTTTCTGTTATGTTGATAAGGGCATGTAGGTATGTTGGTGTTTGGTTATTTGTGATTTTAAATACATCTATTGCAAAATTTCCGTGTTCATCGTAAAACAAATTAGAGCCCTTTCTTCGACTTTTTCCATTTATTGTGTACATGTATATATTAACCCAGATTTTAATTGTTGATCTGAATATTCGCATGACCATTCTCATAATCTTAATCATTTTTATAAAGATGAATTTGTACACGGCCATGTAGCATATGAGATGATTTTACTAAAAAAAGTATTTGCTCTGCTCATCTCTCTGGAGACATATTGCACCATACAAATGCAGAGTGGATGTATCTATTTATATTTACACGTCAAGCAGATGCACTGTAGATACATAAAATCGACCTATAGACGTTTACTGATAAGTGCGCCTATCTCCGTGTGTTACACACGTATGTGTTATACATTTTCTGGCCTTGTGGTAGGGAAAGCATGATTATTTGTGTCCCCATAGAGTAGTCTAGGCGATGGCGATAGCATGAAACTATTTCTTATAACAAAATAGAAAAATGACACTGTCAGCAAAGTACAACACTATCAAAGATGGCTGCTTGTAACTTTTGTATTGGTAGTGCGCATGATCAACATTAATACACATCATCAGGGAAGTATACACTAAGTTGAGGCAACTCTTATTGAAACTTGCCTACTTTCATACAACAGACACAGAAGTAACCACGATAAGGAGTTAATGCCATTGTTGTCGTCTGTTGCATTAATTCGGAACCCAGTGCAACGCGTCTTACAGAGCTTTTGGAGAGGCCCCGAATGAAGTAACATGGTTTGAGAAAATCGTTCAGGCGTGAGGGAAACATTTGTTATGTATTTCTCTGTCGTTTAATCCACATAAACAATTAAATGCGTTGTTTTATAGATTTGGTACTATAATTTGCAAGACAATACATATAGTATACCTTTTATTTGTATCAGGGTTGTCAAACCGGTCAACTGTTGGTAACCGGTTACTCCAAGTAACTGATTAATCGGTTAATTTGGTAATCAAACAATAAACAACAACAAACACATTATATGTTTAACATTTTTTTATTATTTTAACATATGTTATTGCCAATATTTATTAGCAATGAGATAGGGCACAAGTTGAACAACATATACGAAACCCTTGTTTAGCCAATGCTCTATCTAAAACGTATTTACACAACAAACATACATGTATATATTAATTAGCATGACAGTTTACTCGCGTATTTCAAGATAAACGCAGGGAATAGTTTCATGTATCGTTAGTAAGTATATTTCATGGATAACAAATGTTGCACTTCGTCCTTCCGTCCTTCCGCCGGAGAAGTTTGTCCGGGACATATCTTCTATATTGTTGCACCTGCAGTAACCTGATTTGGTGTAAATAGACATCTTGGGATGGCAGAGTGCAAGAATTTGGTCATTGTGACCTATGACTTGACCTTTGACTTTACTTTTGTAAATGTTTGTCCGGGGCATTTCTTCTATACTATTTTACCTGAAGTAACCAGTTTTGGTGTACAGGGACATCTTGGGATTGCGGAGTTCAGAGTGCAAGAATTATATAGATTGGTCATAGTGCTATATTCGTTATTAACCAAAAGCCCTTAGGGATATATGTATATACACATATACATATAATAACATTCTCTCGAAACATAGTTCCAATGGACAGGAGAGTGACTCACATAAAATAATGTTCAACAATGTACATATACGTATTAAACACATTAAAGTTATGAAACACTACAATATATAATGAACGTATATTTACCCCTCTTGAATGCTAAATATAAATATGTTTTTTTCTTCTAAATTTGACAACTTTCTCTAACATTATTTATACTAAGGAGTTGTATTTGATAAGATAAGATAAGATAAGATAAGATATTTGATTAGATCTAACTGAACCTTTAGATACCTCACGCATTATGCGTGAGGTATCTAAAGGTTCAGTTAGATCTAGTGCGCGATGTAACGGGTGGTGCTGTGTTAACAAAAACTGGTCTCTCCGACGTGACCACACATGCGTAACCGTTCCTTAGGGCGATGGGAACAACAAAGGACATACGAAAGTGCGATTCTGGTTTCTTGATAAGAACAATAATGAGATAGTGATGATGACCATTGCATCTGTCTATAATCGTTATCAACTGCATTCTACTGACGAAGAACAGTGTACTTGTGTCGACTCAGCATAAATAATCATTTTAAATTAAAAGTATTTAATGTTACATAACTTGATATTGTATTATAATTAAACGAAATAATTACATTGAATGTTGTGTTTGCAAATCCAAAAATGCACTTCTATCATGTATTACATTTAAATATGCAATAATGCTTGATCAATTACTTTGTGTAGTTACATATTTGTAAATAATAAATGTGTAATGGTTTAGTGATCTAATGTTGCAACACTGATGGACTAAAATGCCTTGTATATCCTCAAAACAAATTTTGTTTTCTATAGTTCATAGGGTATAACCTCTTTTTTTTCACTTATACAGATATGGCTGACTTATCTGAAGGAGACCCTGAAAGTAAGTATCACATACGATGGCAAATTTATCAACACTTAATTGAACTTATTTATCAGAATGCTAATCAATGTTTAGTGCCAAGATACAAAATTCAAGACGTTTATACTTTATTGGTCCCCACTAATGCCGAAGGAAACTTGTTGTGTATAAGTGCCCAACTGATATCGATGAAAACAAGTTGTTTATAAGTGCCCGACTAATGCCGAGTGAAACTTGTTGTTTATAAGTACCCGACTAATGCTAAATGAAACTTAATGTTTATAAGTACCCGACTAATGCCGAAGGAAACTAGATGTTTGTAAGTGCAACAAAGCACTGATATTGGCTACCCAATAGCCTCGCTCCCATCTCTGTACCTCTCGCATATCGTTCAAACCTCTGTAGGTAGGCATCCATATTGTCGCGAGCCACATCGAATGCTGGTAGCCTTGGTCCTCGTTTAATAAACGAATCTCTTGGTGTTCGAGTCCTAGGATTCTCCTCTTCACCTCCAGCTTGTAGCATCTCAAGCTTCCACTTGTGCTCCTGTTCCATTCGTGCCTTCGCTCGAGCTGCTATCTTAGCCTGTTCTTACAGTAGATTATTCTACTCCATTTCAAATCGGAATGCTCTTTCCTTCTCTCGCTCATCTCTCGCGTGAGCGTGCTGCTCGCGGACGAACCCCTGTAAAGCTACTCCCTCATACTTTATTTCCTTCCCAAGAGCAATAAGATATTGTAGTGAAGACATGTTGGTAGCTACAGGTACAACAACAATGTAAAGGACTACTTCCAACATACTACAAGTAAACAACATGGAAATATACTTCCTAACCATAAAGACTGCCCGCGTGTTTAAGCTTTTCTCGCCTTTTCCCCTGATACTTACCTAGACGGTTAATCCACAGAAGCTTCCGTGAAGTAAACAAAGGACATGGTTTGAAAAAAGAATAGAAATGTACAGAATTGCCCCAAACAAGAATGAATAACTGGAAAATTACCTGACATACAAGTAGTGCAAACACATTTACAATTTATGTACAACATAAGCAAATTACACTCGCACACACACAGTTTCACACAATAATGATCCTATATATACTACACACAAAAAAAATCTTTGCTGCAACATGAGGGAGTTACAGTTCTCCTGGACGTGTCCTACACTATATTGTAAGTCTCCTCGTGCTCCGATGACATAACTAATCCAACGCCATATTCTACCCGAAAAGCCTCAAACTTCTGCACCCCAGTATCATACAACATCTTGGTGCTAGCTGACAGGGAAGTGCCCAGCAGCCTTAAACTTTCGTTTCGCAAATCAATATCTGAAATGCCTCCGGGACTGGGAATGGATTCTCGTCTGCTCCTGAAGCCAATTGTCGGAAACGGGCCCACTGTTGACGAGAAATACTGTCTGCTATACCATTCTCTGCACCCACTATGTGGTGTGCCTTAAATCTTATATTGTTCAGCATTGCATACAAAACCAGAGGGCGCACTAAACTCATGATTCCAGGTGACTTTGATGACTTTTTATTTTAAACTGCCACTAATGCAACATTATCTATGCATAACACAATCCGTTTATCCCACAACAGCCCTGCCCACAAATAAAATGCCAAAACTATGGTTGCCAACTCTAAAAACGTAATATCCCTCATTATATCTGTGCCTATCCAGTGCTGTGGCCATTCCAAAAATGACCAATGTTGCTGAAGAGAGGCTGCTCCCCCTTTTGACCCATTTTTTTTAATAACTTTCAAGATCACAATGGTCAAATGTCTAAAAAATTATAGTTTCTTTAATCAAGAACATTTCGATTTTTGTTTGTTGATATAATCCCTTAATATTTAGGTATAATGTGGACGACACAAATCCACATATTATCGGCAGGAAACAATTTTAGTTGACCAGGCCAACTTTTGTGTTAGTTAGGGGTCAAATTTCATATGTGCTATTTCAGTGTAACAAATTCAAAAACATTCTTCTAAAATTCTACCAGGTCTAGAGCCTTGATATTTAATATAAAATGAAGGGCTTTAACATATGCACAAATAAATGACCTTGACCTACTCTAAATATAATTTCAAAAGTGAAAGACAGAAACACTTTTCATTTTTGTGCAATTTTGTGTTTGCTTCAGTACTCTCAGTACTTTGATTTATATTTTGATCTACAAAACAAGCAGGTAGTATTGAACAATCTTTTTCTATGTCAATATTTTTGAGGCAGAATCATAGCGGAAAGATGGATTGTAGGTCATAGGGTCTAAAGTGTTGTTCTTATTATTAGGGCTTTTCACCATTAGAATCGTGAGATTTTGACGTCCTTATCTTTTTGATTGGTAGCAGATATGATTAAAATCTTTCATGTGTATTGTAGGTCATAATTGAAAGGTGTTATTGCGATATTTTCCATGACGTCGTATGTCAAAATCTTAAATTAGCCATTACTCAAAAACATTTGATTATACAGCATTCATGTCTTATATCAGGTGCAGATATTGTTTGGGGCTAATGTTTTTTCATATAATTATTATCAGAAAAAAAAATGTCAAATTAAGATCCACCCTGATGGGTCAAAGGCCATTATTTTTTCAACTTAAATTTCGAAATTTCTTTTGAAAAGTCTTTCTGCAGACGAAAGGGGATTTCATCCCAATGAATAAGATGTCTTCAGTTTTTTGTAACGATAACCGTTAACGTCCTAAATTGTTTTGAATATTTCCTTTGATCTCAAAATCTTACCGCCGAGAAACGTTTCTAACTTGAGCAAGTCTAATACCTGCTGGTTATACTTCATCATTACTACACACTCTCAATAGATTAAAAGTATGGATAGTTAACATTTCTACTGCAGTGGGTATCATCAGCCAATCTTTAGCATGGCAAACAAAACCGCTATAAACAAAATGTCAGTTTCAATTCATTAACATGATGTAGATAGTTGAAGGGCTATATGATTTCTACGGACTACCTTCCGATACAACACCACCTATTAGCTGCCTATATTAATCCATTCTTTCTCTAACGTCATTTTGTTTCCTAGGAATCCCCCACTACTAATTAATAAGCTACTGTAGATTTTCTCAAGTTCGTGTCTCATACTTTATATAACTGAATTTTCATTGAACATTAAAACTGCACATTTTCTTACTCAAAGTAACGACACTATTAGGGTGTAGCTGGCAATCATGAAAAGCCCGTCAAATTGCCTATGACAATTTCTAGTTTTCTCTATATTTATTGCATGGATACCCACTATGTGTTGTTGAGAGTTGCATCATTGATGCACATGGTCAAACGGTCTGTCGTCCGTCGTAAGAATTTGGGTTTCAAAATTCTAATATTCTCAAATTGCTACATTGCAATTGAAATTGGTAATCACTCCGGCAAGGTCCACAAAATGAAACAAAGCTAATCAAGGGTAAACACAATAATGAGTTTCCGAACAAAGTCGCGTTAAATGTTTTAGTATACAGACTTAAACAATAACAACAGTCGAGGTGATCAGGCTTACGCGTCATTGGTGTTGTGTGCTGAAGTCACTCGGATCTTAAGTGTGGTATCTCTTGCTTGGTCGGGAGTGAAATACAGAAAAAACTAGAAATATGTCAAAATGACACAACAGTCACCCCATCTCCTACATTTGTATATGTCATATCAGTATAATAAATCATTAATCAAGCTACAACTGACATATTTCCACCTGTCAATCAAAATGGTCTAACACTGACAGAAGCATATGCATACACGCTCTTTAGGTAACCATGCCAACAAGTGGAATTCATAAGAAAGCATATGGCTAATTTCTGTTGTCATCTGGCATGGGCAGAACAGGTACTTGGAATAAAACGATGTTATTTTCATAACAATAAATTTCAGAAACAAATCAATCTTATATACGGATAAATCTGTCACTTTTTTATGAAATACACGATTCAAAGTAGTTCTTTGATCGTCTGCAAATCTGAATGAATCAAAAATACTTTACATTGGTAATTATCACGTCTTATTTTTAGTTTATCTACACCAACTTCCTTATATATTAAGTTATGACTTGTACCTCTTCTCAAACCTGATATAATTCTGAGACATTCTAATAGGACTGATTCCAATAAGTCACTTTCACCCTGGGTGCAATTATTCCACACAGCACAAGCATATTCAAGTGTTGGTCTTATAAAAGATTTATAAATTATTTCAAGAGATTTTCTATCGAGCTTGTGTTTGAGCATTCGCATTATTTGTAGTTTTGTACAGCTTTTTCCATATATATAATTAACTTGATCAGACCATGATCCACAACTATTAAAAAGCAGACCAAGATGTTTATGATTTTTGACATTTATAACGACACTATTTGAGAATACCAAATCTGGATGAGATGTCTCAGAATTATTTTTATTAGACATTAGTAATGATTCAGTTTTACTTGGATTAAATGATATTCCCCATTTATCAGCCCAGAGAGACATTCTCCTTAAATCCTCATTAAGAATATCTGCAGCATGTCTGCCATCACCATCTATCAAAACGTAAAGAGAAGTGTCATCAGCAAAGAGTTTGACATGGGATTGGAGTTCATCTTCTAGGTCATTGATAAATATTAAAAAAAATAAGGCCCAAGAACCGAGCATTGGGGTACACCAGCTTTTAATGTTTGTAAATTTGACTTGTAGCCATCTACTAATACCCTTTGTTGTCTATCAGTAAGATAGCAACGAATCCAGTTCAAAACGTCGTCACAAATTCCATATTTCTTCAATTTGTAAATCAATCCACTGTGCCAAACCCTGTCAAAAGCTTTGCTGATGTCACAAAATACTATCCTTGCCTCTTTTCCTTGATCAAGTTGTTTTGAAGCTTCATCATATAAATATATTAATTAGTAATTATTGTATCAATCATTAACAGGGTATCAACAAAGGTGAATTAATAGAATTTGAGCTATAACTGTAATTGTGCCAGATCATTCATATCAAGGAATATATTAAGCTTCCTTTATTCACTGAGTTATGCCCCTTTGTTAAAAGATCTTGTTCAGACAAAGTACCGCACCGATTTGAATAATACTTGATACACAACTCTTGCATTCTGTCAAATTACTGTCAAATTACTTTCCATATCTATGTTGTTTCGCCTTTCGTTTAACAACGTTGTGCGCACGACTCCTTCATAAATCGATTTGAACAAAAGTTATTACACATAACACTAACATCAAGTGGATATAAATCAAGTGTCAAACAATCTTTTGAAAATATTATCATGCATTTTTTCTTAGACATTTGATTTTATGCAATTTGCTATATCGTACGTGAGCCATCAGAAATTTTGCAACTGCATATTTCCTCCTATTCCAGACCACTTATAATACAAGGGTTGTGAATAGGGGTGGGTATTTAGTCTACATTCTGAGGACATTTCTAGTTTGATAGTTTCATGCTAAGATTGGTCCCCAGACTCAAACAGTATGGGGTAAATAATCCAAACAGCTTGAATTGAGAACGTTCGTGTGTAGCAGTTCTTCCTATTATGAATAGTTAGAACAACAACAACATTTTTGTTTTCCATTCATATAGATTTAATTTGCACAACAGAAAAGTAATTACAAATCTATGAACACGATTTTCTTTAGAAGTACTATTAGTACTAATGTCACGTGTTACGCTAATTTTGTTTTTCACAGAGTTGAGCATTAAAGACGACAGACAGGCTTTACGCATTGTTATGATCGGTAAAACTGGATCAGGAAAAAGCTCCTCGGGTAACAGAATTCTAGGTAAAAAGGCCTTCGAGACTTTGTTATCGGGTTCATCCGTGACAAAGAAGTGTCAAGAAGCTAGAGGTACAAGGTTTGGAAAAGAAATTCTGCTAGTCGATACTCCGGGGGTATTTGATACAATTACACCAAATAACCAAGTCCTGCAAGAAATTGCCAAATGTATTAGCCTATGCTTACCTGGACCTCAGGTTTTTCTCCTGATTCTTCAGACAGGGAGGTTTACTCCCGAGGAGAACGACACTGTCAAACACTTTGCTGAAATGTTTGGAGAAGACGTCTTCGCCCATATGATCTTGGTGTTTACAGGAAGAGATGCGTTAGAAAAAAGAAAACAGTCGTTTGAGGAGTTCCTGCAGACAATACCACCTCCGCTAAAAGTAATTATGAAAAAAAGCAACAAACGTTGTGTTGCTGTCGACAATTGTGCGAACAATAAGTCTCGCGATACCGATGCCAGGGATCTGATGAATATGATCAATGCCCTTGTTAAGGATCATAACGGCAAACACTACACCAACGAGATCTTTAAAACAGCTGAGAAGAAATGTCTTGAAAGGGAAAATAAAATTAGGCGTGAAAAAGAACAAGAAAAGGAGAAAGAAAAAGAAGAATTGATAAAACAGCTGAACAAGGCATTCCAAATGGACTTTGACCGCTTGAATGCTGAAAAGATTTCATTGCAGCAAAAAATACGCGACAGCACGACAGAGAAGGAAATTTTGGAAGAAAAGCTGCATAAGAGCTGTTTGAAAGATGAAGAATGGACTGTGATGGAGGAAAAAATTAAAAACATCGAAACAGAAGCTCAGCAATACAAAGAACAAGTTGAAGATGTCGAACATCAGCAACAGATGTGCTTACAAAACCGTGACCGACGTATAACTCAACAATCAAAGGACCTGGATCGTAAATGCGCAATCGTTGTGAATTTTAACATCTCAATAGCAAGTCAAAGCGAGATATTTTCATTGATCAAAGGAGCTGCGGGATGGGGCATGCAGAAATTATTTCCCCACTGGTACCCAGAACAGAAGTGACATTTATAATATATCATACAGTCGTCTTTGGAACACGAACATTGTTTTATTATTTGACTTGGGTCATGTACATACGCGTACAGTGTAGCCGAATCGACATCAATTTTGTGGACAACTCGTACATATTTAACACCTTTGAGTGCATACGTTTCACTGGTCATTTGTCTAATGAAGGTGTCAGTGTACATATCGTAGTAGTCATCGAAACGTCACATACAAAATATTCTTCATGATATCTTTGGATTGACCAATAGCTTATATAAAATACACGCCCGTGCGATAAACCTGCTCATAAGTTGGTACAGTATCCACGAGCGTTTTGCGTCAAACGCGTTTTTTAATTGAAACCACCATGTTTTATAGCAAACTGTTAGATACTTTGTGTCGCATGAGTTAAATACTCTATATTTGTAAAAGTATTCCGATGTCTACAGCTATCAGCAGCATTGTTTATAATCTACAATCAAAACTATCAAGACCAGCGTTAGAGATAGCATGTTTTGACGACACTTGAAGTTTAAAAAGACTTCTGTGAACAAGATAAGTAGTATGTGAAAGGCCACTTCGATTGATAATGCCAAATTTTATGCAGATGTGAGAATTTAGACATTTTACTTGCTCGCGAACTGACCGTCGTGATTCCCGACATTTTTCCTTAGTTGAACGGAAAATTATTTGTGAACATAACATTTACAGCCCTTAACAATGTCCACAGGACTATCAGTTAATGTTAAAAAGGGTGTTTAGACTATAGGTGAACTAAGGGATCCAGAATTAGTGCGGGAAGTGGTATCTCAGCTGATGAACAATACGCTGTTCAAAGAAACATTATTATCAACTGTTTGAAATTCAAGGGGATCCCAGAATCTGAACACGAGAACACTGACCAGTTAATTATTTACTCGTGCAACAACACACTTGGTGCCAACGTTTATGATGCCAGATTTTCCGTATTCAGTAAGAAAGACCAGGAATAATCACCCACACCTCCCTCCGCATCTAATAAGCTCTTCATCAACGAGGCACTAACCAGAGCTAGGACATCTGTATTCTCCAAGGCTCACTTTCTCAAGAGACAGGGTCTCATATCCGGCACCTGGATCCAAGATGGTAGGATTGTTATCAGAAATAACAGTGGAGAGAAATACCAAGTAACCAAGCTTGAAGAGTTTAGGATCCTACCCCGACTCCCCTCCAAAGAAACAACCAGACCCACGGACGCTGGCTTCTAACCGTGACAGATCCTACAACAGGCACCCGTATCATAAGTGACCTGATGAATACATCAACTGATCATATTATGTGTCATTTGTTTGTTTTGTTTCTTTTTCTTTATTTATATAAAATAAGTCAAATGTGTAACATAAATGTATAAATCTTACCCTATGACTATGTGTGTTGAACCAATTATACATATATTAGATAAGTAACTTATTTGATACAAATGTATAACTTATGATTTTACTATATCATCAATATAACAACAGAAATTATTTCACCAAAGCTTAGTAATATATATCTGTTGTTCTTGGATTAAAACATTTGCAAATATTCTTTTACAGTGGAAAATTCTTACCTTGCCTAATTATTGATGTTCCATCAATTGAATACATACATATATGTACATAGATTATGAACACAAAATCTACCAACATTATCTAGGTATCACAAAATGTAAAACCTGAATATTTAATATACATGTCAATTCATTTTTCCAAATATGTATCTCTTTATCATAACCTATACTGTAAAACGTGCATGCGTCATACTACTAGTATACTGATAATATTTACTTCAGAAAAATTGTGTTATCTAAATTGTATGTGTTATCGTTCTTGGATCATGACATGTGACAATAATATGCCTCTACAAAGGGAAAGCTAGCTTATATAATAAGTGATGTTCTATCAATTGACAATATATATATATATATGTATAAATAAAGCAAAACAAGAAGACTAGCATAATCGGTTAGCGCTTTCGCCCATCTTGGGGCTCTTCAGGCGATTTAAATTTATTTGTGACGTCATAAATGGAGTACACATACTTAAGACGTCAAAATCAATGACGTCGTAAACAAAGTACACATAATGCGGACGTCTAGAAATTGCGACGTCTTTAAAAGATTTCATGAATGTATTTGCATTACATGCGTCAATGAAATATATGGAAAAGAAACGGAGCATATTACAAATGCTCAAAATGAATACATTGTACATAGTAAAAGTTAAAAATATCTGATAGTAAAATTGAATCTGAATCGCAAGCTTGCTGGTTTTTCCTTATGAAATGACCTATAACATTTTTCAGACTCTGATAACTTAAAAAATTAGCACGAATGTTAAATTTTTCACAAAATTCTTCAAAGCTGTATAAAGATCTATCTTTTTTGATAATGTTGTAGATAAAATGTACCCCTTTTTTGGACCATGTATTATCAAAACTAACTTTTCGATCAATTTTTATTTCACTGTTAAACCATATGGGATTTTTTTTTTGCATATATTGCTTGCATTGATAGTTTTATACCAGGCATCCAAAACATCTTTCCAAAATACATTTTTACAATTTTTTGATATTTCTTTCAATTTCTCAATTCCAAGATTTGCTAATTTCTGTTTATCAAATAACGATTCTACAACATTACCCGAATTTCCTAGTTGACTATATATTCGTCTGATCCAAGTTGCTCTAAGAGCAGTTATGAAAGATTTTAGATGTATCATTTTAAGCCTCCCTTCTTCATAGTTTTTACCTGATCAGGTTTACCATTCCATAGAAAATTGTACAATGTATTGTTAATTTGTTTAATATAAAAGTCATCAGGATTGGGAAGTGATATAAACAAATGATTAAACTGAGATATTAGTAGAGTTTTGATAACAACTAGTTTACCTATTGATGTAAGTACTCTTTTGTTCCAGACCGATATCAAAGACTTCAGTTTTGCAAGCTTTTTGTCAAAATTCAGTTTGATAATTCTTTAAAGGTCTACATTATATTCTATGCCTAATAGGGTGAAGCGTGTACATCCCCATTTTAAGTCAAAATTTGTAGTAAAATTGTTTTCACTGTATTTTTTGATGCCAAAGCATACTACCTGGGTCTTGAAGAGTTCATTTTTAGTCCAGAAATACTAGCAAAGTAGTTAAAGAGCTTTTAGTGTTTCATCTAAAGATTGTTTTGAACCCATCACCTATGTACCTACCAGGAATAAAACCAGTTTGGGTATTACTGATTATAATTCACTTATAACATTTTGGAATCGTTCCGCTATTGCACCAGATGTTAATTCATAGATATTATTTAGAATTATTTAATTTATTACGAGGTTTATTACCTTTAGGAATGCAAGTTTTAATACCCTGTTTTTGTGTTTCTGAAAGTTCCGATATACTATGACTGTAATTTAGTGATCTTAAAATAAATGGTCCTAATTGCTTCCAAAATATTTTTTAAAATTCAACTGTAAAACAATCGGAACCGGTGCTATTATTGTTTTTCATTTTTTAAAGCGTGTTTGTTGATTCATTTATAGTAAGTGGGTCTTTTATATTTAATGATTCATTGTCAGATAGTTTGGGTACAGTATATAATTCTAGAAGTGATTCAAAATTAACATTTTTATGTGGATTGTGTTCTTTGTATAAGGTTCTTTAGTAATTTTCAGTTTCTTTTAAAATTTCAGTTTGGTCAGATAGTATTGTCCCATCATCTTTTGTTATATTTGGAATAATTTTACTAGTATAGTTGCGAGGTTTTAAATTACAAAAGTAATTGGTTGGTTTTTCTCCCTCCCGTATCCATTTTGCCCTTGAACCTGGTTCAATTATTGAAGACGTGGAATTGGTAATAAACTGTCTGATATTAAGATATAATCTAATCTTGCTTGTTTGTGTGGGGTTTTCTTACGTCATGTGTATCTTTTGGTCTCAGGGTTCATTTCTCTAAAAGTGTCTATTAATCCAAATTCGTCATTTAATTCCAAAACCTTATTTCTTGCCTTTTGGTTATTTTTATTTCTATAGTTATTACAATCTAATTTAGGATCGAAATCACATTTAAGTCTCCACACAATATATATTTATTATTTCCCATGTCTTCTATTATATTAAAATGTCATCATAAAAAGACGGTTTGTCAGTATTGGGTACATATAATGTTATTAAATTTATTTTCTCCTCCTGAATTCGCATATCTAAGGCTAATACATTACCATTTACGTCCCTCCTTTCTTGCAAGACTTGATATTCAAAATTATTATTAAAAAGTGTAGCAGTTCCCCTAGAATCTGAATTAAATGAATTAAAAAAACAGGCTACTCCCCAGTTTGAACGAATGATCTTTTCCTTATCAGCTGTAAAATGCTGTATTATGATATTCTAAATATACATGTATATGTAAGGTTGATATTTTCAACGGTTTTATTTTCATTGTTTTATCAACTTCAATGTAGTAGGCCTATGCAGTGAGAAAACAATGTTGCAATGTGATAAAGGGAGGTAACTATACTGACCAGGGGTTGGATTCATTACCTAATATTCCGATCATATCTCAGTAATAATGCTATAATGGACGTTACAAAACAAGTAGGTTATTGCGAAAATTTTCTGTTGTTTCACTAGGACTGCAAAGCATATAACATGAATGAAAAATAAATAAATAAAATGTAATAGATTTTTATCATGACATTTTTTTTCATGCTGTAATGAGACATGGTCAAGTGCACATATGTATATATACATGTACATGTACGTGTACTAGCGAAAGTGTATATAATTTTGTGAGTGGATAAAAAATTCCGTAGGGGTGATGTAGTATATACATATTTTAGTATTATTTTATAGTCAAAATGATCCTGACGTTTTTTGTTATCAAGCACTGACAACAGACATCAGCAAGTATCTTGGCCAAACGTGAAAAAACACGTGCATATACTGTCTTACAAATCACATGTTTTTGATCTATCCCTTCCATTTAGCAGGTCTGTATTCTGTATTGTTATTGACTGTTATACTATTCTCAACATAAATAATGACCAGAATTATTTGAGTCTTAATTAACATTCTACAAGTAATTACACATGATTATTGTACATGTAAATGTCAAATATAGGACTACCATTATAATCATATTCTCAATCAAAATACTCTATGTCAGATATATATCATGAAAATACATATAAATAGTGCTGATTGGAAAGGGCGTACATCATAATTGAAGGCAAACCAAATCGTGTTCAATACTATGTTTGTGAAGTTAAAATCTATATTTAGTCTTACCATGCTGTCTCTAATCATGTTGTTCCCGTATTGCTTGTTAAGGTAATGAATCAGTTTGATGATGTTTATGCCTTGCATACGGTATTTTTATTTCCTATTCTGTTGTTCTTTCCATTTAATGTACTGTTTTACACTACTCTAAGTCCACTCAGTCCACAGTCGAATTCCAGAGATTGTCATTATGCCTATCGTAAGTTGTTTACACCAGAAACCTATTGATTTGTCCTAATGTTTACCACTCGATTATCTTTGATAATGGATAAATATAAGAATACCGTTATTATATTTATTGGGACACATCTTTATTGTGAGGAATATTACTATATCAACACATTGTTCATTATAGCATTTGCAGGTAAAATTATATACCCTAGCTGCTATTACAGTACATATTGTTTACATTTTGATGAATCACATTTTTTCAAACTTAAAAACATTGAATATCTTTATGTACCATTAAAAAGTTATTACTTCTTTGCAATGATATTGAACTAAATACAGGACCCCAATGTGACCTAGAAATCTTACATCTTACTGTTAGATCTCTCGGAACCAAACTTGATATTATTGAAGCAGAACTACATGAAAATGACATATTATCTCTTACTGAAACACACCTTTCTCCAAATATAAGTGATCATCACTTATATTTGGAGAAAGGTGTGTTTCAGTAAGAGATAATATGTCATTTTCATGTAGTTCTGCTTCAATAATATCAAGTTTGGTTCCGAGAGATCTAACAGATGCTAACAATAACACTTAACTCCCATTCCCATAACTTTCACAGACTTGATGGAAATTTAAAACTGGACCTGGGGGAGGAGTAATTATTTATCACAAAGACACAGTACATACTGAAGAAGAATTGATCTTGAGCATAATTATATAAAAATGATATGAATTGAAGTATTATTTAATAAGCAAAAAAGTGTATTAGGATGTATTTATAGACCTGAATCAAATGTAGAATATTGGGATAAATTAGACCATGTTCTAGATAATGCATGTAACACATCACTTAACATCATAATAACTGGGGACATAAATGTAAATATGTTGAATATACCTACTTACCACCATTTAAATAGACTAATGGTAAAATATAACTTTACAAATCTAATTAATAAACCTACCAG